TTTTTTCTTTTTTTTTTGATTAATAAGGGTAAAAGGGTCATTTGTGGGTGCGGTGTTTATCAAAATAGGGTGCGGTGTATATCAACACCTGCAGAATTCGAAGCGTGACAGACTGACAGTTTACCAGTTAAGCTAAATACATTTTGAATTAATATATGGAGAGGGATAAATATGTCAAAGGATAATTTTGCAATAATAGAAGGAAAGTGGAGCCTAATCATCTGGTTTTGCATTATTATCCTCTCTATATATAATTCTCGAATGCGCTGAGCCTACGTGGCTGCTTCTGGTGCTTTAGAATCCTATTTGGCGAAGAATCATGCTTCGTAATTAGGTTTGGATAAATAATATTGATATATTAATAATTAATAATCTAGGTTCGGGTATTCCATAAATATTATTTAGCTAACTTAGGTATTTTAATATCATTTTTACTAATATAACCCTTTAGTTCTTTGTAATTTTACATAGTGAGGCACTAAGTGACTAATATATCCCTGAATTTTGATTTGTTTCCTTCAATAAGCTATTGAATTATAAATGTATTTTAAAAGTTGATAACTTTTGTATTTCTTATCGGTTTTACAAATATAATATATCAAATTAATCATCTTTTGATGATCTTCGATTTGACATCCATATTGTATATATGAAATAAATAAATTATATTTATCTTTTGTAACAATAAAAAATAATAATATTTATTAAAATTCATTAGAAAAATAAAATTATTTCTCAATTTATAAAAAGTGAAAAAAATTAGTATAATATAGCACAAGTAAGTTGCACAAATAAAAAGTGTCATAATAAATATATAACAATATATATATTCTTCTAAAAGGTATTTAAATTTTCAAACTACTTTTTCTCATTAATTTTAGATTTTAAGAAAAAAATTAGCAAGCACCCGTGTAATACAGGGGTGTTGTACTATATATATTAATACAAAACGCGCTGAGCCTACATGACTGCTTCTGGTGCTTCGGAATCCTATGTGGCAAAATTACATGCTTCGTTATTAGGCTTTGATAAATTTTAATTTAATTCCAAACTAAAAAATAATTAGGTTCGGATTACCATATATATGTTGATTATTTATGGTCATGTTACATGTATTAATTGTATTTTAATATCATTCATTATTTTAAATATTAAATTGTATATATATTTTAAAAGTTAATAATTTTTGTATTTTTTATCAGTTTTACATATGTAATATATCAAATTAATCTTCTTTTGATGAGTTTCGATTTAACATCCATATTGTATGTATAAAAAAAAATTATATTTATCTTTATAACAATAATAAAATTATTGTTAATATTAATTAAAAAATAAATTTATTTATCAACTAATATATTTATATTTCAAGTAGTTATATGATATAAGTTATAAAAACTATTATAATATAACACATGTTAGTCATA